GGAGCACGTCGGGCCCTGCGGGGTCGCGGAGTTGGGGCGCTGGAAGTGTGCCCGCGTCTCAGGGCGGTGTGAGCCTGTGCAGAGAAGATGAGGTGTGCGGCCAGGACCGACCTCGTTTCCTAGCAAACCCGTAAACAGAGCCACTGCCCCCTGCTGGGGAGGCGGAGACGGGACTCCGTGTCGCGGTGGGACAGGGCACACCGATTTCCCCTTTAAGTTCCTCTGGGCCTCCGCTGTCCGGTCTTGCTCAGCTCTGTCCAGGCTCTTTGTGTCCACCTGTTTACCCGGCTTTGGCAGCAGCGCGTCCCCGAGATGTTGCGCTCTTGCGTTCAGTGACCGCTTTTAGTTAAAATAGCACTTTAGCCCCTCGGCAAACTCAGGCTTCCAGGTGTTGTCTTAGCTTCCGCGTGGAGCACAGAATCTCTCCGCTGGACGAATGCCTTTGGTGGGGAAGCAGTTTAAGAAAGTCGCGGCCTCCCATCTGGTCCTCTCCCTCCTTCCCGGGCCCTCTGCACGCGCTCTTCGGCCATCACTCCCGAGTCACTGCAGGGCCACGTGGGGACCGCTCCCCCTCAGCCCCCGCAGCCGAGGGCTCTCCTCACCGGGGACCACCTCGGCTCCACTAAATACGTTTTGATAATATTTTTACTTTTAATATTTTTGTATGTTTTTGAAGGGAAATACTGTGGTTTGGTTGTTTCCCATCGACCTGTCGGTCGTGCTGATCATATCATTCCCTGCAGCTTGGTGGTACTGACATACTCCAAGTTCTGTGTCACCCTGTACACCACGTCACTGTGCTTTTAGACAAGGTTGTTGATGCATTGTCTATCACTGTGCCTGTGAAAATCACCCAGTGTTCTAAGATGTGCAAGTTGCATGGCCGGTGGGGGGGGTATCAGTAAGATGTGACCAGAAGCTGCTCTGTTTTCTCTCTCTGTGGTCAGTGTGGTCACGCAAACCCACCAGGTCCCACAGACTATCACGTCCAGGCTGTGGGACATGAAAAGCTGTATCCCCCGTTGTTGGGGATGACAGCTAATATTTGCACCCTGGAATGTTGAAGGACTTTGCTCTAATAGCATTAACCTTGCTATCAGCACCCTGTTGTGTGCTCTGTTGTTGCAGAAGGAACTGGTAAATGACACACAGAGATGCAAGAGTGGGTAAAAGAAAACGTTTACTTTGCTAGCAAAGGGTCGGCCAGCACCAAGAGCCGTGCCAAAATGACCGATCCCGGGCTGCCTTACCATCTGTCTTCGATAGGAGTCCTGCAATCGTGGCCTCATTTTACTTCCCACAGTGCCCATCACCAGTCAAGCTCACAAGTCAGTTTCAGGGCTCACCGAAATGTAGCGTTTTCTGTCCGGATGTTTAGCTATTCCAGCCCACAAAAGTGGGGGTCAGGTTTAGGAAAGCAGGACTGTTGACATTCCTTTCATCGTAACACCTTTATAGTCATGGTTTACAGAAAGTTTTATGGCTCAGGGACAGTTATTTTAGTTTGAACATCTGGTCTCTTCCTGGGATGCAGATAAGCACCTCCAGCGTTTGTTAATTTTAAACTGGAGCTATGTGCCTTTAAGCTTCAACGGTGAAACGTCAGGTGTTTTGTTAAAGAAGCAAAACAAAGCACATTACAGAAGCAAAAGGCAGTGGTTATTCCATATTTTCTTTAACATTTTGTAGGTTTCGGACTATTCCTAGTAGTTCTATCATGAAATGGTGAGTGAATGTAACCATGGAGGGGACTGCAGTGGCTCAGGAAAGCACGTGTGGTATAGTCATAGGTCCTAGAGGCAGGCGGGTGAGACGCCTGGGTGGTGGGGGGCACAGGCAGGAGGAGGGGGAGCATGATGCCAGGACTTTTGTGGGGTTTTTGAGGGACGGGCAAGGCAGTCAGGGTGAAAGGCTTGGGCCGAGGACAGACTCTAAGCTGAATAAGAGTTCATCCTGGTTGCCCAGGGCTGAGCCCTAGGGTGATTCATGCAGAGGGATGTTGCCTTCTGGGTGCCTAGGCCAGGTAGTGGAGGTGTGGCTCTGATGGCTATTTGCACAAAGATATTGCCCAGCTAGGCCCTTTTGCCATCTCTTAGTAACTGACTAGAACTAAAGGACAGTTTCTCCCCCGCTGGAAAGAAGGTCCCAGAAAGGCCTTCCTTCCCAGGGAAGAAATTCGCCTCAAGACCCTAGCATCTGTTCCCACCTGTGCTTCTGGCTGCTGCCTGCTCTCCAGGCATCAGATTTGCCAGCCCCTGCAGTCACACGAGCCAGTCCCTGTGAACCATGGTAGCAAAACTGTAGCACGCATGTTGTTTTTCTTTTAAGATGAAAGATGTCAACGTAGGGTTGTGTCTCTTCTAACTAAAGCCTCAGTATCAGCTTTAATTGCAGTCCCGGCACTCTCCAATACAGACGTGGGCTTAGGGCTGTAGTTTGGGCAGTCCTCTCCAAAAGGTTCGCCGTTACTGCCCTACAACAGCCCCTTAGCATTGCGCACGCGCCCTGATTCTGTGCTGGAAACGACCAGGGCACAGCAGTGCTGGAGAGGGGACTGGGTTAGGACAGCTTCTTCCTCCTGACGGGTCTGTGCCAGCACCGTGGGAGTGGGTCAGGCATGCAGCAGAGGGCCATAAGGACACATCCAGCTCCGTTTCTCCCATCTGCCACCCAGAGGACGCAGCAGTAACACCTTTGCCATGTGCGGGCCGCTTAGCCGCAGGTCCGGCCTTCGCACCTGGAGAGCGAGTCTGTCCGGTATCCACGTCCAGCCTGTGGCCCTCGGTCACAGGTTGTGCAAAAGGCCATACAGAGGGAACGCAGAGGCGCACAGCCCACTGGCTCTGAGTCTCCTGGGAGCCCTGGCTGGGGCAGCTCACCTGCCTTCCTCCTGGTTAAGTAAACCATATGGCTGAAGAGTATTTAAGAAGCTGTTTCCTTCAATAAAATGATGGTGGATATTCTTGGACTTGTACTTTCTATTTCACTGTAGAAGTCTTGAAGACTGGTAAATAGATAAAGAAGCAACAGAAAGCCACAAATCTCGGGTAAAAGTTACATTTATTTAATAATTCACTAAATAAAGAAGGAGGCAGGGTGTGTAATGAAGTAGGGGGACTTTTCCAAAGGGCAAACTACAAAAGATGATGTGACAATGTGCTAATCAGTGTGTCGAAAAATCCACACTGGTTATGAAGCGTAAGAATATAACAAGAGGGGCCGGGGATTTAGCTCAGCAGTTCGGTGGCCTGTCTTGCAAGCGCAAGGACCCGAGTACAATCCCCCGTACCAAAAACAAAAACAAAAACAAAAACAAAACAGAATATAACAAGAAAAAAACCTCTTATGCAAAAACCTCGGCACCTTGGACCACAGGTAGAAATGGGGCAGAGATGGCACCAAGCTTACATCAAGACGCAGCCATACTCCGTTCTGGAGAACTCACGCCGGAGAAATGCCCTCACTGCAGTAACCACTGACTGAGCCTGATGCAGACCCCGTTTTCCCTGGACATGTCATTTTCACCAGGGAGAAATTATTCAAGACGGTGACTATGAGAAAGCCTTCCAGTGTAGCCCAACTGTTATCCAACAGGAGAGATCCCCCATTAGCAGAATGCCTTCTGCATCCCACAGACTGGAAACACACCAGACTTCATTCAGGATTTCATCGGCCTGACTGGACATCAGGGAATTAAAACTGCAGCAAAATATCTGGAAACCTTTAGGGAGTTGTCAGCCCTTCACTATGCATCAAAAAATGAGCAGAGTGAAAGATTTCATGCATTCGTGGATGATGGGAAAGTTCTTAGAGAAACCCTACATCTGTATACACTGGGAAACTCAGAAGGGATAGGAACCATTGAATGTAATAAATACATGGATGTCCACGGTCCACAAGACAGCTCCCAGGGTGCAGCCAGCCCACAGTGCCCTGAATGCAAGAGAGCCCAGAAGAGGAAGATGGCGCTGAGCTCCACGGATCCCCATCAGGGGCTGGGGCAGAGGGGAGCGCAGTGGTAGTCAGTCTGCCTAGCACATACAAGGTTCTGGCTTTGATCCCCAGCACTGGGGAAAAAAGGAATTCCCATCAAAGGGGGGAGCGAGGTGTGGGGCGGGTGAAAGTCCCTCCTCAAACCAGGGCTCAAAGTCGGGAACTTCACACCAGTGTGCAAACGCCATTGTGGAAACACTCCTTCCACTAAGAAATTCTCTTAAGTCACTGAGTTTGGAGTGGGGAAAACCTCATAAATACTGTTTTTTAAGTGGAAATGTTTTCAACTAGAAGTCAACTCACTGCACATCAAATAATTCATACTGGAAAAGACACTAAGAAAAGAGTAAACGAAAAACAACTTCGTTTGCAGATCAGAGCTCACCGACTGTCAAAGTGTTCATTTAGGAGCAAAACCCTACAAAAGCATGAATGTAGAAAGAAATCATAGAGGACCCACACAGGAGAGAAGCCCTAAAAGCTAATGAATTTTGAAAAGCATTCAGCAAGAAACAAAGCTTCATCATTCCCACGGGCAAGCCTGAGAGTCCAGCAGTGAGGAGAATCTGCCCTCGGCGAGGTGAGTTTGACGAAAAGCCTTGTTCAGCTTCAGAGTGCAGGAAAACAGCCCCCAAGTCCAAGCTTAATGGGGATCAGAGAATCTTTAGGTTGTACACAGTGTGGTTCTCCTTCGTACCTTGTCACAGACTAGGTGCTACAGTGTTCTGAATCATCAGTCAGCCAACTTCATACATCT